GAAGGAGTACCACGGTAGGGCGTTTACTCCGTCCTCGTAACCTTACTCCTGCAGAAGGGGTGGACGGATTCCATTCAAATTTGGCTGAAATCTCTTGCTGTGAGAGGAGAGTCATCTCCAGTAAGCCGTGTTCATTTAAAGACCTCCTCGTATCATAACTCCGGGTGACTATAAAAGCAACAATCATTGGCTGAGGGCTCTGCAACTCCCAGCCAATGACTGTAGCTTTAATAGTCCTCCAGGGTTAGGATAGGTGGTGTGCTTAACCACTCTTGACTTGCCTGCGATGACAGTAAGTTTAATATAGAACATGTCAAGGGATTTCATCTCTACCTTTATTCCTTCTGTCAAATAGGGAGTGAGAATTACCCTATTAATTAGTAGTGGAGTGTTAAGTAAAGGTAATTAATTCAATATTTGGTTCATTGTCTTTATTAAATCTGTAGAATAGTGAAATTGGTGGTCGGTCGATCAGATTTACTCGCTGTATTATGTAGTCGGTTTTATTTTATACCCTTTTAGTGACAAAACGGCAGCCGATTTGACGTGAATGTTGCAAGAGAGAGTGTGTGTGTGTGTGTGTGTGTGTGTGTGTGTGTGTGTGTGTGTGTGTGTGTCTTTATCTCCCTCCTCTCCCCGTCTCTCCATCCCCCCATCCTTCACCCCTCTGCCCCTCGCTCCCTCTACCCTCCTCTACTCCATCAGTCCTACCCTCTACCCCCCCTCCTCTCCCTTCCCCTTTCTCCCTCCTTCTCCTCCTCCCCTCTCACCTCCCTACCTAGTAATATAGTATACCTGTTCTGTGATGAGGGTAGACCGCCTTCATTACAGGTACACGACAAAAACACCTGTGGAATATCATCACTTTCTTCGTGGAATTTCTGGAGTCGTGCCGTGGGAAGAACTCTTTTTGTCCTGTCCGTGGATCTGTGCGTTCGTGGATCTGTGCGTTCGTGGATTCGTGGGTCCGTGTGTCCGTCCGTGAATTGTCAACACGATAACTTGAAAGATTTGTGATGGATTCTTTTTTAATTCTCACACGAGATCGATAATTCGGTATTTTCTGGCATACTTTTGCTCTGGCTCTAGGAATCTGTTGTGGCCACTTCGACTGTGTTGTGTCCACTGGGGGTTTATTGTGGCCTCTTGGAATTTTCGTGGCCCCTAGAACAATTGTGGCCCCTTGGACTGTGGTGTGGCCCCTTGAATATTGGTGTGGCCCCTTGGATAATGGTGTGGTCCCTTGGCCTCTATTGTGGCCCTTTGGAATCTTATATGGCTCAGCGGGAGACAGGAGGGCTTGACCACCTGTTATTAAGATGGTGATCAGCCAATGGAGGTTGTAGATAAAGGCAGGCTCTCTCTCTCTCTCTCTCTCTCTCTCTCTCTCTCTCTCTCTCTCTCTCTCTCTCTCACACACACACACACACACACACACACACACACACACACACACACACATTCCTCTCCTCAACCATACCTCCTCCGTTTATTCCCCACATCTTCACCCAAAGCTATCGCTCATTTCCCTCCCTCCTCTCCTGCTACTCTCCCTCCCCTGTACCTCCCATTCCTTTCTTCTCTTCCCTCCTCCTCCCCTTCCTCTCTTCTCCGTCTTGCCTAATGGACTGTCATCATCATTTCAATCCTCATCACATCCCGGGGTACCAAAAAATACCTCCGCCGGGCCTCCTCCTCCTTCTTCTACATTCATTGGTTCTCCTCCTCCCGTCTGCTTGACTGTCGCTTCTCTTCTGCTACTTTTTCGTTCTTTCTTGTTCTTGTTTTTTTGTTATGTTGTTGTGTTTGTTCTTATTGTTATATATTGGTATTGAGACAATAATAACAATATTGATATGGCTGAACCTGAGCTCTCTTAGTGACACCTGATATACACCTTTGTTATGTTGTTGTTTTTGTTGTTAGTTCTACTCCGTCATATTAGAATAAAATAAATTTGAAGTCAGATGGAAAAACTACCTGAAGTTAGCGTATATGTTAGTAGGCATGGAGGGTCTCTCTCTCTCTCTCTCTCTCTCTCTCTCTCTCTGTCCAATGACTATTTCAGAAACAGCTGTTAAAACTCGGGCTGTTTCCGACAAAGTTCTCGCTGACTTATTTCCTCGTCCAAGTATGTGGTAACTTCCTTTCTTCACCCTTTGTCAGGAGACATAAGTGGGAGTATGAGGGTAGAATAAGGTCCAGTTGGGGGGGGGGGTACTGAGTCATTTAAATAGGGCAGCACTATTTCAAAATAGGGGACATTCTTTTAAATAGGGCCCAATCCTTAAATAGAGCCCAGTCTTTAAATAGGGAACCAGTCTTTAAATAGCACCCAGTCTTTTCATAGGGCCCCAGTCTTTTAAATAAGGGCATAGTCTCTAAATAGGGCTACAGTCTTTAAATTGGAGACAATCTAATAGGCCCAAGTCTTTTATCTAGGACCTCAGTATTAACAGTTTCTTCGTTCATATATGTCCCAACCTAATCTGTCCTAGCCTTAAGGATTGGGAAGGAGGACGGACTGGTGGTCACAATACAATACACGATAAAGGTGGATTAGGAGGAGGAGGAGGAGGAGGAGGAGGAGGAGGAGGAGGAGATGACAGAAGTACAGAAGTAGGAGGAAAACAAAAAAATCAAGAATTAGAAAAAAATTAGAGAAGAAGAAGAAGAAGAAGAAGAAGAAGAAGAAGAAGAAGAAGAAGACATGACAGAGACAGTGTGAAGCAATTAGACAAATAATAAGACCAAATGACTTCCCATAGAGAAAAGAATGGTCGTCCTCCGAGAGCTCTAGATGAGGTCGTTGACACAGAATAAGAGACACTTGTAGTACGACCCAACATACTCAAGGAGACAACGGCGTGTGAGTCAATCCTTACAGACACTCATAAGATTTACTGTAAAATTAATTGAGTGGTTAATTACACTTTTGTTGAGTATTAAAGCGAATTAACGTTGAGGGTAATTAAGGAAATAAATTAATTATGTAAGTTGCATAAATTAATTATATCTTTGAGTATTATGATCCAAGAAGGAAGTTGAGAGGTTTATTAAGTGATTAACATTAAGTTAATAATAGGTCTTGGGAGGCTAGCGGAAGGTGGTGGCGGTGCTGGTGCCTGCCGGCACAAGACAAAATACTTATTAATACTTATTAAAGCACAATTAAATACTACTCTCAGAGGGCACTAATAACACTCATTAAATTCTCGTAAAGAAATAAAGAGAAATCTGTGAGCATTATATCATTAGACTAGGGGGCGTCTTGGCCGACAATCTGGAGATACTTCTAGTACTCATTAAACGCTCGTCAAGGAACAATTAGACCTCCGAGCATCATAATAACTAAAAGCAAACGTCGCCGTCGGCATCAGTCTCAAGGTCCACTACTTGTGTGGCTCATAATGCCTCCCCAAGAGACTTATTTAAGACACTTTTCGAACCTTATACGCCAGGGGTGTGTGTTGACATCTGGGCTTGAGAGGGTGGGCGGAGCCATAGTCAGCTGTTTGTGTGACGTCATGATGTAAACAAAGGGGGTGTGGAGGTGTCACGTGGTGGTGGTGATATAGGCTCTCTCTTTCTCTTTCATTCTTTCTCTCTCTCGACTTCACGATACAGATAGAGGATGGGAAAGAAGGGAGGAAGGAAAAGGAGGGAAGGAAGGAGGCGGGGAAAGAGACACTCCTCCCTATGTTCTGGGCACTGCATCTAGAAGTCAACGCAGCTTAATCCTCTAGTGTAACAAGGGAAGGGGGAGAGGGAGAGGAAGTGAGATAGGTGGAAGGGGATGTGGCCAAGAGACACCCGCGTGAACACACACAAACACTCGTCCAGGTAAATGTTGTATGGGCTTGAGACTCTGGGAGGGGAGAGGCAGGGAGAAAGCCTGGGAAAGGAAAGGAAAGGAAAGGGAAGTAGAAAACGAGGTAGATGGAAGAAGAGAAGAGGATGGAAGGGGGGGAGAAGGGGTATGAGGAGTGAAGGGGAGGAGGAGAAGATAGAAAGGGAAGAGGGAGAAGATAGAAAGGGAAGAGGGAGAAGAGGCAGAAGAGTAGATGCGAAGGGAAAGAAGAGCTGGAAGAAAGAGAGAGGGCATGAGGAGAGAGAAGGAGTGGGGAAGGGGGAGAAGAGGTTATAGGTGGCGAGTGAAGGGGGTGTAAAGAGAGGGGAGGGGTGGTGGTAGGAGGATGTGATTGGGGAGAGATTAGGAAGATGGTAAGAACAGAGAGAGATAGGATAGAAGGATAGGGAGGAGGGTGTGATGTGGGGGGCGGTGTGGAAGGGGAGGTGATAGAGGGGGTGATAAGAAGGGAGGGGCAGGGACTGGAGGGATTGTCGGGGGGAGGGGGGTGGGAGGTTAGAGGTTGGAAGGGTGACCAGATTTGGTGGGAGTAATGAGACAGGGACACTCACTCACTCACTCACTCACTCACTCTTTCTCTTATTTGAGATGTTAAGGATCACTTGAGATGTTGAAGATCACTTGAGATGTTGAGGATCACTTGAGATGTTGAGGATCACTTGAGATGTTGAGGATCACTTGAGATGTTGAGGATCATTTGAGATGTTGAGGATCACTTGAGAACATGTTGAGGATCACTTGAAAAACATGATGTTGAGGATCACTTGAGATGTTGAGGATCACTTGAGAACATGTTGAGGATCACTTGAGATGTTGAGGATCACTTGAGAACATGTTGAGGATCGTTGGAAGATGCTGAGAGCTGGTGGATGGGCCGCTAAAGAGTGGAGATGGTGGCTCGTTTAATAATTTGCTGGGTCGGGTATGAATCCTAGAATATTGAAGATGAAGCATTCATTAAAAACACTGTTACCGGGAAAAGTGGATATAAAATAACCAATGAGGCCAGGTTAGTTAGGTGAGGTTAGGGTGGAGGTGAGGTTACGGAGGTTAGGGAAGAAGAAGTTAGGAGGTGAGGTGAGGTGAGGTGAGGTTAGGTTAGGTGATGGATCAAATAAAACCACGCACAATGTCAATGGAACCCAAAGACTGTGGTCCTGAAGCTCATTGGAATATGGAAGGAGAAATTTTGAAACTCATCGACCACAAAGGAGGCTGTGAGGGCTGCAAGAACATGAAAAAGGAGGTACTTACTCATGGCTCGTGGAAGATAAGATGTCTTATCCTGCAAGAAATATGTTTCTGGGTCGTGTACACCCAAGATCAATGTTAAATCTTGAATCCTGTAAACGTAGGAGAAGATATAGGTAGTTCCTGGATCTTGGGTGAATAATAGATTTTACACTAGATGGTGATTGACCTAGAACGTGGAGGATGAAGGTTTAGAGTCGCCGGAATATGATATAGTATAGTCTAGCTCTCGGTGAGAATCTTTATACGGTGTCTCACTCTGGTTTATGGAATACTCAGGGGAAAAAATATAGGAGCCGTTTTATGAAATCTTTACGGGAATTTTTCATTGAATAAGGAAAAATGGTCCAGATATTCTCCTTCTCCAAAGCATAAATGAGACATACACATTCAGAATCATGGACAACTGAAGTATTATGACTGACTGGCACATGGCAAACGAAGAGCTTCTAAAACTGTGGGTTCCAGCCTCGCCTTGTAAGGTTGAGTGTCATGATAAAGCGTTAAGTCCTGAGGCGTGGAGGACTCAAGACAAAGACAAGATGGAACATAGGAATAAAAACACCAAACTCACTGGAATAGAAGGAAAAACACCAAGACTGACTGGAACATAGAAATAAAAACACTAAGACTGACTGGAACATAGAAATAAAATCACCAAGACTGACTGGAACATAGAAATAAAAACACCAAGACTGACTGGAACATAGAAATAAAATCACCAAGACTGACTGGAACATAGAAATAAAAACACCAAGACTGACTGGAACATAGAAATAAAAACACTAAGACTGACTGGAACATAGAAATAAAAATACCAAGACCGGCTGGAACATAGAAATAAAAACACCAAGACTGACTGGAACATAGGAATAAAAACACCAAGACTGACTGGAACATAGAAATAAAAACACCAAGACTGACTGGAACATAGAAATAAAAACACCAAGACTGACTGGAACATAGAAATAAAAACACCGAGACTGACTGGAACATAGAAATAAAAACACCGAGACTGACTGGAACATAGAAATAAAAACACCGAGACTGACTGAAACATAGGAATAAAAACACCGAGACTGACTGGAACATAGGATAAAAACACCGAGACTGACTGGAACATAGGAATAAAAACACCGAAACTGACTTGAACATAGGAATAAAAACACCGAGACTGACTGGAACATAGAAATAAAAACACCGAGACTGACTGAAACATAGGAATAAAAACACCGAGACTGACTGGAACATAGGAGTAAAAACACCGAGACTGACTGGAACATAGGAGTAAAATCACCGAGACTGTCTCGAACATAGGAATAAAAACACCGAGACTGACTGGAACATAGGAATAAAAACACCGAGACTGACTGGAACATAGGAATAAAAACACCGAGACTGACTGGAACATAGGAATAAAATCACCGAGACTGACTGGAACATAGGAATAAAAACACCGAGACTGACTGGAACATATGATTAAAAACACCGAGACTGTCTGGAACATAGGAATAAAAACACCGAGACTGACTGGAACATAGGAATAAAAACACCGAGACTGACTGGAACATAGGAATAAAAACACCGAGACTGACTGGAACATAGGAATAAAAACACCGAGACTCACTGGACCATAGAAATAAAAACACCGAGACTCACTGGAACATGGGAGACTAAAACCCTGGAGCTGACTAGCAACAAAGCATTTAGGGTCGCTGGAAGGTGGAAAACACCGCAGTTATTCCCTGGAACAGCTATCAGCGGGTCTGGCAGCCCATTGTGGCCCTTCATGGTCGTATTGGCTTTTGTTCTGTTAACTGCTGATGATGCCATAATGATGTACACACACACACACACACACACATTTTCCTTATGTATACGTACAAAGAGATCAAATACAACACCTTATAAGGCAGGAGAGAGGAGGGGGGGGGGGTGGTAGAGGAGGAGGAGGAGGATCGGATCCCACTAAACAGAGTATTCCTCCCCAAGATTGTGAGTTTGGCTGATGCTTTCGTGCCCCCTCGTAAAAGTTGGAATGCGTTTTCTTCCGTCTGATGTTTATTACAGGTGTAGCCTTTGTGGCAGATAGCAAAAGGTCGCTGACGCATATGTTCCCTGTCTTCACCTCTTTGATACCGTTGCTTGCTGTTGCCTGCTGCTGCTGCTGCTGATGGTGGTGGTGGTAGTGGTGATTGTTGTTACCTGTACATAACCTTGTATACTGTATGTATATATTTGTTTATACATATATTTGTTATTATTATTATTATTATTATTTTCTTGGGGAGGGGGTAGAGAACTTGTATTATTTTATTTTGTTTTGTTTGAGGTTAGGATTTTGTTTACATCATTTTTCGTGTTTATTTTTTTATTGGTTGTATTGCTTCTTTTTCTCAGCTGTTTGTGTACATAGAGACAAACATGCTTCTTTTTATACATACATACATAAATACATACATATATACATACATACATACATATATACATACATACATACATAACGCTGACACATTCATCAACACAACATAATTAGCCGTCAGTATGGTGCTAAAAACGTCGACAGAAGACATTAGTTATTGTGTTGGAGAGAGAGAGAGAGAGAGAGAGAGAGAGAGAGAGAGAGAGAGGATGTGGTGATAAAGGAGGAGTATGCGCAGTGGAGTAAAGAAAGGAGATAAGACATGATGAAGTAAAGACATAAATAGACCACAGGACGCCAGCTATGAGGTGGGGAGAGAAGAGGGGAGATGGAGAAGAGAGAAGAAGAGAGGGAGGAGAGAAGGAAGTGGGGAGAGAGGGGAGGAGATGGAGGCGGGGAGAAGAGAAAAGATGAGGAGGAGGCAGAGGAGGAGAGGAGAGGAGGTTGGAGAGAGGAGAGAAGAGAGGCAGGAGGGAGAAGAGAGGGAAATGGGGAGAGGATGGATAGATAGATAGATTAAAAACTCGATAGATGGACAGTCAGATATATAATTAAATAGACAGACGGATGCGTTAGATAGCTAATTTGAGAGAGAGAGAGAGAGAGAGAGAGAGAGAGAGAGAGAGAGAGAGAGAGAGCGTCACTTTAACTTACCCGGAGCCCAAAAAAAAAAATTAAAATATATACGTCGCCAAGTCCGTCACTCATCAAGTCCTTTTTAAAGTCCATCACTCACCGAGTCCTTTTAAAGTCCGTCACTCACCGAGTCCTTTTTAAATTCCGTCACTCACCAAGTCCTTTTTAAAGTCCTTCACTCACCAAGATCTTCTAAATAGCCGTCAGGTACCAAGTCCTTTGAGAAATCAGCCTGAGACCCTGCAGCTAAAGGGAGTATTGGAACAAAAGTCCATAGCCAGCTGGTCCGCGAGGGAACCAATCAAAATCATCGTCTGTCATGAGGCTGGGCTCTAATTGACTGGATCATGGCTTTCCTCGTCCCTTCTCGCAGTTTTCTTCAGAGTCTCGGTCAGGCGTTGATAAATTGTCATGAGAGAAAATGGTGAAGCGATGATAAAACAAGGAGGAGGGGAATAAATGAAGGTAATTACGGCGATAACTCTGAATAAATGCCAGGATAAGAACGTCATAAGTACTTCAGACGCGATGGATAATCCTGAGATTTTTAATTATTCTAAAATTTAAATTGTCTTCCGTTTTATAGAGTAAATAAGTTTATTTTACTCGATTTTTATTTTATTTTTAAATTGTGTCTAGTCACTGTTAGGTCTCAGTCCAATTTCGACGCCATCTTTGTGTCGTAGTGAGTCATCTACATACGTAATTCATAGTTTTAGTTAAGGGAAAAATAATTAACCTTGATGAGTTCAGATTTGGATTCCTCGTATTTCCAGTTTGAGGGAAAAAAATATATCTTATGAGACCTTTGAGAATATTTCCTTTGTGTCGTAGCTTAAAGTGAGCAGAAGTAGAAATTATCTCACATCCATTATTACTCTCTCTCTCTCTCTCTCTCTCTCATCTCCAGTTAAAATAAAGCAATTAGCGCAACAACCTTTAAGAATGCATCATTTTGTCGTAACTCAAGTAAGGCAATTAGAACCGGTTTCACATATCCAGTTAACGTAAGAAAAACAAAATGAATCTAGGAACCTCTTAAGAAATCGGTGTTTTATCGTAACTAAAGTGAATCCATTAAGTAGCATTTTATCGCAACTCCAAGTAACATAAAAAAGGTACGAATCTGTGTGGTTGCTACTTTATACGTGAGCTTAAGTGAGTCAGTCAGGAATGCTTCGAATAATCCGTTAAGGTGGAGCACTTACCCTACTTTACCTGCCTTTGAGACTCTACCTGCCCTTGAGACTCTACCTGACTTTGAGACTCTACCTGTGCGTAACAGTTAATGTGATCCAGTTAAGGGTACTCGTTGATGTTGTGTTGTATAAATCCGCTCCTACAACTAACTTCTGTCAGCATATAGTTTAGGTTAGGTTAGAATAAGTTGGATTGTGTTAGGTTAGGTTAGGCATCAACCATTAGAAATTAAAAAAGACCTCTAAAGACCTTTTTCCATCTCCACTTAAGGGTTAAAGAGAACCTAACGTAGGAACCACTTGAGAATGTGGAGTGAGAACACCCGGACCATCACCAACCAGTGTGTTGATGACGTGACCACAGCCAGAACGTGACCTCCTCCCACGGTCATGAACGACTCGCCCAAAATTACACCATTTGTAGAACTCATCATCCAGTGAATGACATTTTGACACTTCCTAGTTCTTCAGTATCAAATTATGATGATGGTGATATTTATAACAGTAATAAAATTAAAGATAATAATAATAATAATAATAATTATAATAATGATAATAATACTTATAATAATAATGATGCTGATGATATATGAAAAAAGTATAGAATTTTGTTTAATTTCACTATAAATTTAAAAAAGTCGTATTGGTTGCAGTCCAGCACGAAAAGTCGCTTATTTCTTCGATCACGCTGCTGTACACACTCGACTCTTTGTTCACGCATGAAATCCTGCTTTTCTT